CACTCCCAGGGGAACTACTTTGAGGGTGATGGATGAATTTAATACCTGAGATAAGTGTACGGGTTTTTATAGGCGCAGTCTGGAAAATTTCCGATCGCACCTCGTATGTAGCAGGCCGATACCTGGTTAGATGATTTCTTCGAGGCATAAGAGTTTTATGGATACTTTAATTCAGTATACTTCAATCAGGAAACGTTGTATTCAGGTTTTTCATGAACATGGCTCTTAAAATGAAAGTGAACTTAGCTCGGGCGTGAAAATGCTCAAAACAGATGCTCTTCATTCCGAACTCAAAGAAAATCAGCGTAGGGGCTCTAGACACACTTAAAACTTGAATCAGGACCTAATGCGATATTTCCGTAAATCGTAAGACAGAAGTACATTAAATGAACTGCACACTACTGCAGCCAGCACGAAGTATAGTAAAAATCTGTAAAAAGGCAAAGATAAAAGCGAAGATTAATTTAAAACCTTATAAAATTATTCAGACCAAAATAAAATTAAAATTATCGAAAGACTTTAGTGTTAGTGTACCACCATCCCATGTTTAGCATAAATCGGTCGGATGGTTTTGAGTCCTGTTATATACGGGCGCAAGGACAGGACCAAACTTGTGAGATTTCAGGTTCCCACGGCAGCGACTATGAAGATGGCTTCTTCTGGGTTCTCGTGCCGTGAAGTCCGGTAGAAGATTGCCGACTTTCAAATTTACTTGCTGCACTGATCATCTGGGCCTCATTACGGGGGTTTTAGGTTTTCTCAATTACTTTACAGTTGAGAGACTGGATGGTATTTCTATGAGATACACCGTTTGGTTATGTGCAGAACTGCATTCAATTCCTTGATTCTGCTGTGGTTGAGCGGCAGAGTATGTAATTAAACGCTGCTGATCTATTTTCGGTAGGGCGGTTTGAAAGTGCGTTGATGGCAATATCAGTATGCGTGTGTTAACGACAAATTTCCAGACTGCGTTAATTTCTCTTCTTTCTTCCGATTTGTAGATCAAATACAGTTTTATTATCTCGTTCATGTGTTGCGGAAAACTCGAGATTTGTATTTACGCTATAATTACTGCTCCTACATACACAACTAATAATTAATTAGTGTTCTGTCT